AATATAATTAGATTGATTTATGCGAGAAATTTCCATGTTTATATACATCTTCCTGAGTGTGGGTTGAATAGTGTTCAATAGCTCCTGATTTTAGTGATTTAGTGCACAGCTATCTTTTGTTTGGATTTTGGAAAGGTGGGGGAGGGGAGGGCAAGGGGGCGTGCACTGTGCCACTGTGCAGAGAATGAACAAAGATTTCAAGACTTACGGCGACGCATTATCGGCAAAATTTTTGCCTTCAGAAGATCTTGCCGACACATTTAGATTGAAATTCTTGTATTTAATATATTTCTCAGTCTTCAGCCAACTATTTAGAAAAAAAGTAAGGTTTCCGGTACGTTGGATGGATTACGATGCAGCGAAGCTTCTCCGGAAATCAGTTGCGATGAGTTCCTGCAAAAAATGTAAACAACATTTTTTCGATTGCGTAGTTTCGGTCGCATTAGAGCGGTCAGACTGCTTTATTACTTGTTCAGTTGACACTTGCTGTACAACCAGACTGTTTTTAGGGTAAAATTAGTTATTTGGGGTAACACGTGCATGCAACCTTGTAATAAGTTCGTGGCTTGTGAATAGTTCGTCATTACTCAGCGTAAATGGCTTTTCATTAAAAATTACCCGGCGACGCATCTTTAAAATGGCCGGCAACGCTTTGGGCTTAAAAATCCATATATTGCCGACGCTGCATCCACCCTCTGCATAGTGGGCACTGTGTTGTGCAGCAGTCCATAAAGAAGCATTGATCAGTTCAAAATGTCAAACTTCAAACAGTCAAAGCCCATGTTTTTTATATTACCTATTAATTTCACTATGACTGTTAGAAAGTGAAAGATTTTCCGTTGCACATCATCTTTGTTATTACCTCCTCTCAGAAGTTCACACAGAGAAAATTGTACATTTATACCTTTTACATTAGTTTGCAGCTCTTGTCTGGACTGCAGTTGCACTCTGTTGCAGCGCCAGCAGGCAGCAGCTAGTATGGAATATATCTACTTGGCGAGCCGTGACTGAATTTTTCGAGCCGTGGTTTTATGGATTTGCCAGAGCTCGTAGAAATGGAATCACGGCTGGCAAATCCATAAAACCACGGCTCGAAAAATTCAGTCGCGGCTCGCCAAGTAGATATATTCCATACTAGGTAGTGCTCGCAGCTCACTGCTCATTCAAATTTCAATGGCATACACAATTCCACACTCCACAGTGCGGACATTCACAGTTCAACACTCGCTCATGTTGAACTTGAATCTGTGCAAGTGACTTCTAAAGTTCTAAGTTCTAACGCCGGCATCTTCAATTCTGAGTCGGGCAGCAGCACATTCTAGCCTGCGAGACTTCAGACAGAACAACGGTCGCAGACTGGGTTCGGCCCTGGAGGCTGGAACACAATTTTTTTATAGTTGGGGTTAAGACTTGTGGCGACAAAAATAAAACAAATGCGCCCACCAGCCTGTTCTCTGTCAGAACTGGAACATGATGCCGTTATTGCCGCTGGCTGAAGTGGCGAACGAATGATCAATAGATTGAATGACGCGTCTGCACGGATCCGGAAATTAAGCAGAGAGTAAAAGAACGGTTTTGATAATTGGGTTTTGATTATCATATATTGAAAAATTACATGGATAAACTTTATGGTTGAACTATATAATACATAGTTGAAGTATAAACTATTTCAACCATGGAAAAATAAAATACTGAAATTACGCATATCTCCTCTCTGCGTTCTACAATTTTTTTAAATTGGTAAATTGAAATTTTTAACATGAGGCTATACTCGTTTTCACAGGATTAAACTTATTATAGCCTCATCTTGGATTGAACGTTCGATTCTTATGACTACCTAAGCATCTGATACGTAGAGTAAGGCGTGCTGAAATAAGTTAAATTCCTGATAAATAAGTTAAATTCCCTGAAATAAGTTAAAGTCCTATGAGGAAAGATTAAAGATTATGAAGCTTCCAAGCCTCCATTATCGACGTCTGCGTGGGGACCTCATTGAAGTATACAAATATACTCACGGGTTCCAAAGGCCGGATCCCTTGTGAATCAAGTCACGAAAAGTTCAAGAATTGGCAACAGGCCATGGGCCTATGTCTTCAACGCCGACACTTCTATTCTAATTACTTTTCAATGTAAATCACCAGTCAGCACTCGTCAATAAAACAGCGCTCGCTAATAGTGCCCACAGCAAAACGATCGCGTACGTCTAACATAACGTAACAAAACATAATGATGTCGGCGCTGAAGAATAGGCCTGATGTGGCCTGTCACCGATTCTTGTACTTTTCGCGACTTGTTCACAGGAAATCTAAAAACAGGTCCTTTGACCGGATCTTTTCAAGACTTACGATAGTTTGGAATAGCTACTAGGCTTCCGCCAGGTTTGATATGGTGCTAGGCATTTCAAGTCTGAACATATATTTTTCCATAGCTTTATCTAGTCTGTTCTTGAACGCGTTCATTCATGGAGCGTCAACGATGTAACCAGGGAGGCTGTTCCAACTGTCGGTAACATGAAGCGAGAAGAAATGTTGTCGCGTGGATGAGTTGCAACGAAGTTATTCTAGTTTATAGCTGTGGTCAGAAAGACTACGCTACAAATGAAATTTACTAACAAGTTCAACGCTTATCCCTCTGCCATCGTATGACACTTTCCTGGAACATAAAATTATACAGTACGTAAACTATTGAGTGTAGCAACCTGAGGACGTTTATACGCAACAGAGAACATTTTAAAGTTGTCGTACGTGGCGGCAACCATCAGTACAAGTCATTTTGCGCTCACTAGAACGTATTTTTTTTTTAAGTAGGCTTGTGACAATATTACTCCGGTTACTCATGTCAGGCGGTAGAGGGTTATACCTCAGAAAATATTCACCCTCAGAGTGTGGAGTGATGAAATAAGGAGAATCATTCACTTTCTAAATGTAAAACACCACTCCGACTCTCTGAGTTGAATAATTCCTAAGTTATAAGCGTTGAACCTACTAAACCCACTTCTTTATCAACAGGGTAACAACAACCTGGAATAGTCTGCCCCAGAGTGTCGTCCACGTCCCATCAGTCGCCTCCTTCAAGAACAGGCTGGATAATCCCTGGAAGTTCCTCCCCTCTCTATGACCCATCCTGCTACCACTAGTGACTTGGTGCCACCACGCACACATGCAAGTGCCACGTCGCTAGCAGCACAACGAGCGACGAACATGGCCCAGGAGCGCCTCAAACGTCGGTTCAGTTCAAGTTCAAGTAAACCGCACGCGGTCGTTTTGCTTCAAGCCCTGTTGGCGAGTGCTAAATGTTATTGTCGAGTTCAGAGTGGTGTAAATATAGCTATCCACGTTAATAATTTAATGTAATTAGTTAATATAATTATAAGCTCAGTCAACATGAAGAATTATAGAGGCAAAAATTAAATGTATTTATAAAAAATAATAAAAAATTGCGTCTCGACTTGGGGGGTAAAAAATTTTATTTTAACAAAGTTTTTAATACAATATACCAACTTTCCACAAGACTAAAATGTTTTGGATGGCAAATTGGTGCTGTACATGGTGGCGTAAATCTCACATATAAATAATTTCGTGGGCTGGTTTCCGAAGCAGGCTTGATGCGCGGCTCACTAGTCATTTACTGGCCTTGCTGAAGGACATTGGGCGTTACATTTGGGGCCAAATGGTGCTCAAAATAGGTGGTGTGACGCTGCGGTCCCAAATATATTTAATTTAAAATCATCTTCAATCATCTACAAGTAGGGTAAATAGCACAAAAATTGGGCTCGATTAACTCGGACATACACCTTTTACATCCCTCCACTACTAATCACGTCTACAATTCTGACATTACCCTCCTGTCTCTCCCATCACTTCCCTCCACTACTCTTCTGACATTGCCCTCCTGTCTCTCAACCGCCAAACGCTCTCCAAACATCAATTCATTTAAATCCTAAATAGCGCTCACCTCATATGAACAAGGGAAGGCAGAAATGTACATGATGTCTTGCTAATATGGTTCGTTCAGTTGACGATTCATTAAACGTGGATTAAAATAATAAATAGAAAGTTTGGCGTCTCGATTAGTAAGTAAGTAAGTAGTATAATGGCTTACTACCGGTAGCGTTTCAGCTATTAAGCTATTTCGTACGGGAAGTCAAAATATAACAACGCCAGTGAGGCGGAAGGTCTTAATTAGTCAGTCTCAAATTATTCATCACCCACAAGGGGCGGAAGGCCTCAGATGTCCAGCCCGCTGAAGCTGGCTCGAAAGAAGCAGCGTTAGCATCTCAAAGAGACGAAGTGACAAGGAGGGACAGGTGAAAAGCAACAGAAACTAAGACACTCGAACAAGAGGTCGCTTACACGGGACGTCGGCCGCCCGCACGAGAGAGACAAAGAAGGGAAATGTAAGGAATCCTACCTACATAATAACTAGACACCACAAATGAGTCCATCAGTCAGACACCGCGAGCTCAGCGGTGGGGGGCTCTGGAACAATCCCCCTAGGAGCGCGAGATCCCATAGGACTTCTGACGAGCACAGACACGCGTCAGAAGGCCCCCTGAGGGGGTGTCTCGATTAGAAATATAAAGAATATCACCAGGTATTTTATCATTTCAATCAACTGCCGATGAAAAATGAAGTACAAGGTTGAGTTCGTTTGGTGTTTGGCATGTCGACACGCGTGGAAAGAGCAATAAATGGATTAGATTACGTTTGAATAGTAAGCCCCCTCCACACGTTCAAACTCATCGTTAGTCAAGTTTGACTGACCGTGACCGTTAGTCAAGCAAGACTGACCGTGTGGACGGTCAGACGTCTTGCACGACAGTTTCGAGGTTAGATAAACCTGGAAAAAAGTATGGGCGAGACCTTTAAGTACATACAGGCAAGGCTGGCGACAAGAAATCACAAGACAGCGATCGCCCACGAAAAAGTAGCTCTCTATTTTTTGCAGCTTTTTCGTCATTAAATTACGGCCACAGTATGTTCATCAGTAAAAGATAAGAGTTGAACAGGAAAGAATTTATTATGAAAAATTTCTAACAAATTACCCACAAAATAGCAACTTCTTGTCCTCATTACTGCACCGACATTCGGGCATGGGGATTTCACAATAGGATTCTGATCACTAAAATTTGAAATCCTATAAAAATATATATTACAATCGAAAACAATACTGTAATAGGTGATAGGATGAGAATATATAGAAAAGATATTAGCATGACACGATTATCACGTTGAAGGCGTTGCTTAACTTGCTAACCCACATTCCATTGTATGTATGTAAACAACAAACCTGTGTGACAATAATAGGTGCACATGGCGGTATATAAAAACAGCTGCCAAAACGTCTCAAAAACTGCTCGGAAAATCTCAAAGATCTTATCATCTCATAATTAAGTTTCGCTGATAGTATCAAGTCATGCCCGAAAAATATCGTGAGAAATATATTTATGAACCTGGCGCGGCATTGAAGTTGACTGGATGATATGACTTTGATGCTTAGGACGATCAATTCCCATGACTATGTAACAATCAGTTCTAAACTTATGAAGGCATTAAGGTACGTATGGCATTGGCCAGTCTATTGCCGGAGGGAAGAAGTCGCGCAAGGAATGCCTTATTTGCTGTACTTGTAGAAGCCTTCGCCACTCTTAATGCCGTACTTGCCCTCCTTGTAGAGCTTCTCCAGCAGGGGGATCTTGGCGAACAGGGGGTTGTCGGGGAACGCCTCCGCCCAGCCTGTAGGGCAAATGGGGGTGAGATACACAGCGAGGGTAAATGGGAACCCCACAAGGGATCTTGACAAGCAGGGTGGTTTCAGAGAACGCCTCTGCTCACCCTGGGCATAAATGGGGATGAGGTGAGATAGTGAGCGAGCTCAGTGAAACTCGCTCTTCCCTGACACTTCTCAAACCGTAAGAAAAAATTAACTTGTATGCCATGGTTTGGTATTAGAAATGCACAAGATGATGATTTTTATTCAATAAAGTCGACAAATCGGTGCTGGTTATCCATGAGAATGCTTCTATTGGGCAACCACAAAACGACATACTTAAAATAAAATACTTAAAAAAACTTTTTTTAAAAAACCATGTTTTTCTTGTGGACTAAAAAGTAGAAAATAAATTATGGCTCGCCCCAAAAAACGTGTGTCGGGCAGATTTATGATTAAAGCGAAAAGCACACAGAGACAGAGAACCCGAGAGCTGGGTGCGAGAGACAGAGAACCCGGGAGCTGGGTGCGAGAGACAGAGAACCCGGGAGCTGGGTGCGAGAGACAGAGAACCCGGGAGCTGGGTGCGAGAGACAGAGAACCCGAGAGCTGGGTGCGAGAGACAGAGAACCCGGGAGCTGGGTGCGAGAGACAGAGAACCCGAGAGCTGGGTGCAAGAGACAGAGAACCCGAGAGCTGGGTGCAAGAGACAGAGAACCCAAGAGCTGGGTGCGAGAGACAGAGAACCCGAGAGCTGGGTGCAAGAGACAGAGAACCCGGGCGCTGTTTGCGTGAGACAGAGACCCCGGGAGCTGGGTGCAAGAGACTGAGTCTCTCACCACTGCACCACCACAACTCGAGGTGGGGCATAACCTACCCTGCCTGATGAAGTAGGACGTGTCAAGCCCTACGTAGTCGGCAAGCTCCAGAGGCCCCATGGGGTAGCCAGCCCCCAGCTTCATGGCCGTGTCAATGTCCTTGGCAGAGGCGTCGCCCCGCTCCAGCATACGAACAGCCTCCCCCACGTACGGAATCTGGGGAGAAAACATGGACACTAGTATGCAGAGTGGAAATAACATGTACACTAGTGAGTGGAAATAACATGAACACTGGTACGAAGTGTGGAAATAACATGTACACTAGTAAGTGGAAATAACATGTACACTGGTATGCAGTGTGGAAATAACATGTACACTAGTACGCAGTGTGGAAATAACATGTACACTAGTACACAGTGTGGAAATAACATCTACACTAGTATGCAGTGTGGAAATAACATGTACACTAGTACATAGTGTGGAAATAACATGTACACTAGTACACAGTGTGGAAATAACATCTACACTAGTATGCAGTGTGGAAATAACATGTACACTAGTACGCAGTGTAGAGAATTTATCAGGTTGAATACAGGCAATCCACAGATACCTCAAATTTGCCAGATACCTTACGTCAATATGCACCCACGAAGAATATAAGAATGCATTTAACATAACAGAAACTTTTCTACCAGAGAACTGTGTACAAGTCAAAAGGTAGCAGCTAAACCTTATATTCCATACAACTCTGTAGATCAAACACAATTGACACATACGGTACACCACACATCAAGCACACTACACAGGGCAGGGTGGCGCTGTAGTTACAGTTCCAGAGTACTAAGATTGGAGCAGAGAGATGTGGGTTCGATCCCAGCTCTGTGCGCCAGTTTCTATTTGTAAGCGGCAAGGAAACCGGGCGGTTAAGTGCAGCAGAATTGTAGCAGTGCATTGCGAGTTTCAGACCGCAAAATACTGTGAATGTTCTGCTATGCTAGGAATGGGCGACAGGCTTATGGCCTACTAAACACTGAAACTGCTATTATTATTACTATATTACACACCAGGAGCCTGTTGACGATGAAGCCTGGCGTGTCCTTGCACTGCACCGTCACCTTGCCGATGCTGGCGCCCCAGGCCTGCACCTGCTGGTACGTCTCCTCCGACGTCTCCGGCAGCCTGATGATCTGCAACACAAGCATGGGATAGAATAGAATGGAAGTGTCGGCACTGAAGAAATAGGCCCATGGCCTTTTGCCGATTCTTGTACTTTTCGTGACTTGATTCACAAAGGATCCGGCCTTTGGAACCCGATCTTTCTATAACTGACGATTGATTGAGATAGCTGCTGGACTAATTGCCTGGTCCATAATTTGCTAGGCATTTTAAGACTGAACATATGCTCCTGCATAGCTTCGTCTAGTCTGTTCTTGAAGGCGTTCATACTCAGAGCGTCAACGATGCTATCAGGGAGGCTGTTCCACATGTCGGTGACTCGAAGCGAGAAGAAATGTTGTCGCATGGATGTGTTCCTGTCTCTTATACACATCTAGATGTGTATAAGAGACAGATGTTGCATTGTTTTTTGTTGCATTGAGATTTAATTTCTTTTGATAGTATTTTTGAATACTATGCGTCTCTATACATAATTTAAATCACTTTTCCTGTTAAGTTTGTGTACTTACATACATTAAAATACGATTTTTCAAGTGTACGAATATTTATTTCCCCCCACTGTATATCCATGAAGAACATATGAATGCATTTAATATAAGAGAAAAATTTCTACCAGAGAACTGTGTACAAGACACAAGGTAGCAGCTAAACCTTGTACTATACAACTATCTCAGACAACACCACCACAGAACATCGGCCCTACAGCTCTGGAGCGAGCTCCTGTCGGTGGTGTCGTACTTGCGCGAGGTCTCTTATAAAAATGAGTCTGGGGAACCACAACAACTATACAACTCGGTACATGAAACACAACTGACACATGCACCACACATCATATACCACACATCATACACCACACATCATCCACGACACATCATACACCACACGTCATACACCACACATCATACACCACACATCACACACCACACATCACACACCACACATCACACACCACACTTCACACACCACACATCACACACCACACATCACACACCACACACCACACACCTGTCTCTTATACACATCTAGATGTGTATAAGAGACAGCTAGTACGCAGTGTGGAAATAACATGTACACTAGTACGCAGTGTGGAAATAAACTGTACACTAGTACGCAGTGTGGAAATAACATGTACACTAGTACGCAGCATGGAAATAACATGTACACTAGTACGCAGTGTGGAAATAAACTGTTCACTAGTACGCAGTGTGGAAATAAACTGTACACTAGTACGCAGTGTGGAAATAACATGTACACTAGTACGCAGCATGGAAATAACATGTACACTAGTACGCAGTGTGGAAATAAACTGTTCACTAGTACGCAGTGTGGAAATAAACTGTACACTAGTACGCAGTGTGGAAATAACATGTACACTAGTACGCAGCATGGAAATAACATGTACACTAGTACGCAGTGTGGAAATAAACTGTTCACTAGTACGCAGTGTGGAAATAAACTGTACACTAGTACGCAGTGTGGAAATAACATGTACACTAGTACGCAGCATGGAAATAACATGTACACTAGTACGCAGTGTGGAAATAAACTGTTCACTAGTACGCAGTGTGGAAATAAACTGTACACTAGTACGCAGTGTGGAAATAACATGTACACTAGTACGCAGCATGGAAATAACATGTACACTAGTACGCAGTGTGGAAATAAACTGTTCACTAGTACGCAGTGTGGAAATAAACTGTACACTAGTACGCAGTGTGGAAATAACATGTACACTAGTACGCAGCATGGAAATAACATGTACACTAGTACGCAGTGTGGAAATAAACTGTTCACTAGTACGCAGTGTGGAAATAAACTGTACACTAGTACGCAGTGTGGAAATAACATGTACACTAGTACGCAGCATGGAAATAACATGTACACTAGTACGCAGTGTGGAAATAAACTGTTCACTAGTACGCNTGGAGCCAGCTGCGGGAGAACAGTTAGCTTAGTAACAGAGGACGGCTTGAGATAAGAAAAGCGAGGAGGTGTTGGAGGCAAATATTGTGTGTGGTGGAGCCAGCTGCGGGAGTACAGTTTCCTTAGTAACAGGCTTGAGATAAGAAAGAAAATTACATTACATAAGTGGTCTGACAATCTGGAGGTTGGGGTTATAATAGACCACATCACTAAAGGCAATTTTCTGTTATTTTTATAATTATTCCAGCACTACTTGGATTTAAGTCCAATTTATGTGTCAAGTCACAATAAAATACAGTTCTGACAGAGCTCATCAAGAACTACTCTCTACCATGTGAGTTCCATGATCACTCAAGCTTTGCCCATTCCATGAATAATCCAATAATAAAGTAACTCAATGGACACTTAATCCAAAGTTTCAATGTCATTTGTTTTAGTGAAATGTAATGCTCAAAAATTTTGACGCCAATATTCTATCATCATTGAACTAGATTACTAGACTATGGAAGGTATAGAACTCAATGCTCTTACAAAGATGATAGACACAATATTTCATTCCCAGTAAGCCCAATAGAACCTTATCCAGCTTGGCAAAGAGCTCCTGCTTGATTTTGATGTTCTCCACAATAGCTTCAAGTACAAGGTCGCTCTCTGCCACAGCGGCCGCTGAGTCCGTGGAGCAGTGCAGCAGCGCCAGTGTCTTGTCGACAAACTCTGAGATCTTGCCAGCATCTCCCTGAGATGTTGTTCAGAGTTAAGAACAATACATAGTTAAGAACAATACATAGTTAAGAACAATACGCAGCAGCGCCAGTGTCTTGTCAACAAACTCTGAGATCTTGCCAGCATCTCCCTGTGATGTTGTTCAGAGTTAATAACAATACTTTACCCTGAACTGTAAAGAGCCCAGAAAATTGTTACAAAGATTATAACTTCATGCTGCACTAATAAGTAATATAGTCACTAACACTTTAGACTCACTTTCAATTACTTTGTAATTTAATAACAGTAATGGACTAATTGTTTCTCACATCCACGTCAACAAGGTGCACAGGTTTCCTTGAAGGCAAAAAATATTTATTATTGAAAAATTTTCTCATTCTTGAGCAAAATCTTCATTTAAGAACAACTTCTGGCAAACTACACTAATGGCATTAAGGATGTTGCCAGAAGGCATTATTGCTTTTTCTCCACTCAACCCATCTGTGTCATTAACCAATTTTCATACTCAATGCATCCTTTTGTTTCATATCGTTTCAGAACAGAGGTAATAATTAAATTCCATCCAAGCCAAGTTTAATTCAGTAACTAAAATGCTGCCAAGACAGTTGAATGCATCAAGTTAATTCTGCAATACTGTTGGGTGAGTGAAGCTCTTCCTGATAATGTATATATATGTATGTCTTCCTTAATGCTGCATTTTCCACATCTTTTTAACCGTTGCATTATTTATCTGCATTAATTGAGCACAACCCTACCATAGTCTAGTTAACTCTGTTTCAAGTGTTCATAGACATAATGGTGATGCGGTCCTTGTTTTACCTATATAACTTCACTTGCATTATTGTGTCAAATCTACTTCCAATGTTGTTTGCTTTGTGTTTAATTCAAATGCCAGCTGGGGGAGAACAGAGGGAGGCTTCAAATGCCAGCTGGGGGAGAACAGAGGGAGGCTTCAAATGCCAGCTGGGGAGAACAGAGGGAGGCTTCAAATGAGAAAGAAAATTAAGTGGTCTGACAATCCGGAGGTTCAAGTTATACCTACTGAATGACAAAACCAAAGGCAATTTATGGTTAATTATTTTTAAAAATTCTTCCAGCACTACTTATTACAAGTTCAATTTATATGTCAAGTAACAAAAAATACAGTTCTACCAGGGCTCATCAAGAACTATCCTCTACTTTGTGAGTTGCATAACCACTCTAGCTTTCCCTATTTCATGAATAATCCATTAATAAGGTAACTCAATGGACTCCTAATCCAAAGTTTTAACGTCATTTTTCTTAGTGAAATGTCGGTAACACTAAACAATTTTGATGTCAGTATTCTATTTTCATCAATCATTGAACTAGACTGTAGTAGGTATAGAACTCAATGCTATTATAAAGATGATAGACACACTATTTCATTCCCATAGAACCTTATCCAGCTTGGCAAAGAGCTCCTGCTTGAGTTTGATGTTCTCCACAATAGCTTCAAGTACAAGGTCGCTCTCTGCCACAGCAGCCGCTGAGTCTGTGGAGCAGTGCAGCAGCGCCAGTGTCTTGTCAACAAACTCTGATGTCTTGCCAGCATCTCCCTGGGATGTTGTTCAGAGTTAAGAACAATACATTGCCCTGGACTTTAAAGAGCCCTGAAAATTGTTACAAAGATAATAACTTTATAATAATGCACTAATAAGTAATCTAGTCACTAACAATTTATATTCAGTTTCATATTCTTTGTAATTTAATACATTTAATATCACAACATTCATCGAAGACAAGAAAGTATTCCTTATTGAGAATTTTCTTATTGTTAAGATAAACCTGCATTAAAGAACTACTTCTGGCAAACTACTCACTATGGAAACTAGTCACTCTCCATAGGGACTATGGTTACTATGGAGACTAATTCAGAAATTAATCAAATTATTACATGTGAATTTAAAATGCAAAGAATACAAAATGAGTTAGGAAAATTTTTTACAGAAGAATAATTAATTCCACCACATTAACTAAAGTGTGAAGCAACTGGAACATTAACTATATTACACAGGCACCTGCAGAAAAATTCCTAAAGAAACTTTGCAACTCACTGAAGATATGAGAACCTTGACACATTCTCTGCATCTAAGCCACAAATCTATAAGCTTAATAACAAATATCTTTTTGAAAACCATCTTAATACACAAATAAATAAACATTAAAAATAATGTTGATTGTCACCTCAAATTTCTTCTTGGCTACTCGCTGCAGTGACTGCTTGATGCGTTGCTGGGCAGCCTGCACTGCAGCAGCATCCACGTCAACAAGGTGCACCTTCTGCCCAGCCTGGGCTGCCACCTGAATAAGTTACTATTTATTGAAGTATATCAGCCTAAACAGCAAGTATCTGTACATAACAGGTCTCCTTGTGTCAAGCTTTACATTATTGTTCAGCTTATAACATAACATAACATAACATAATGATGTCGGCGCTGAAATGTAGGCCTGATGTGGCCTGTCGCCGATTCTTTTCCTTTTCGTGCCTTGTTCATAGATCTAAACTCGTATCATTTGATCGGATCTTTTCATGACTGGCGATAGTTTGAATAATCTCTAACCAATTCAACCCCCACTGCTGCAGTATTGTATATATTCATTGAAGTACCTATCAGCGCAAACAGCAAGTATCTGCACATAACAGGTCTGCAGTCTGCTTGTGCTAAGTTTTACATTATTGTTCAGCTTATAATCTCTATATGTTGCAATCATTTTATAATGTAATGCAGCCACAGGATTCATTATTATGACAAGGTTCAAAGGCAGTTTACTCCAGAAATTCTTTGAACTTATATCAGTAGAACACAAGAGATTTCAAAAGATTCACTATCATTTTTCATCACAGTGTAGATAGGATATTATAAATAATAATAATTGAAAGCCCACCTGTGCAACTCCAGCACCCATGAGTCCGCTCCCTATCACTGTGACTGTGCTGATTTTGGCAGCAGCAGCTGATGACATGGCACAAGCAGAGGCCACAGAACACAAAGCCATGATTGTCTTGAGGAAGTTTGGCTACCAAGAAATACAACTCATGACTGTAAGACACAGAGAATTAAAAATATATATGAAACATACGTATATATATATGCAAGTTTGATTGAAGACCAGAGCATGCTTTTTACTAACAATCTTCTTGTTCGTTTTCGTCACAAATTACCATTCCTAGATATATTAGTGCGAATTGAAGATAATTCCTTTGTCACTAATGTTTACCGAAAACCTACTGATGTCGGGAAAGTGCTTAACGAAAAAAGTGAATGCCCGCAGCGCTATAAAACCAACACAGTGCGCGCTCTCATACAAAGAGCATTCAAGACCTGCACATCCGAGAGTGATTTGAAAACAGAACTCAGATCGTGTAAACAAATTCTAGTGAATAATGGATTTTCAAATAGAACAGTTGACACTGAAATATCAAATTACCAATCGAGAGAAAACTGAACCAACAATGAAGCAATATCTAATGGAACCCCCACAACGGTCTTCTACCAAAACCAGATGAACAGAGGCTACAAAGTGGATGAACGAGTCATCCAATCAATTATTCATGATAATGTCAAGAGCACAACGGATAACGAAAATATAAAACTTCTGATCTACTACAAAAATAAGAAAATAAAAAAACCTTGTAATGAATAATAATCCCTGTAAAAAAACTGGTGTGCTTCATGAAACTAATGTGGTTTATAAATTCTCATGTAATAAAGAAGGTTGTAGACTTCTTCCAAACATGAACTACATTGGACTTACAAGTACGACTTTGAGCCAAAACTATTAAAATGTCATTCGGAAACCTGCTTTTCGATCTCCCGACGCCAGCAAGAAATTTGGTTTGACTCATTGAAAAAACGAACAAGAAGATTGTTAATAAAAAGCATGCTCTGGTCTTCAATCAAACTTGCATAAGAGAAAAGCTTCTGCCTAACTACACCAATATATATATATATATATACCATATAGAAAATACCACTCTACACAAGCAAAACTTCTAAACTAAAATCTTTCTGATTCCATCACCTTGAAACAGAAGTGGAAATATACACTTCATCAAAATCTAGCATGTCCTAAGTTTCAAGTTTCCAAATTTTGAGCGACCTTGGAAGTGCACAGCTACAAGTTCAAACTTAGCAATTTTAATTCAATTGAATTTTGAAATATTGTTATTATATAAATAAGTGCTACATCAGAAAATGATAGCACCAAACATTCAACAAAAAATTCCTCTATGTTATGTTGTCATAAAATTTGGCACCAACAATCTGTTGAGGACCTCTAAAATCTATTAATAATTTGCTTGATGCTACAAACCAAGACTGAAAAACTCAAACAATTTACTAAAATACTGTATCATGGTTGCTGCAAAGTAAAAAATTTCACTTTTAGTTTTACTAAAATTTTTGGGATCCAATTATTTACTTTTGTTTACATCTAAATTTCAAATCTCTATCACACATTTGTACAATAATCTGATTTGAGAAAAAATTCCAACTTGGCTCAGAACCTCAGATTAGGCAAAATTACTTATGACTGCAGGTAAAAACAATCATTGCACAGGTGATTTTCTGAAATTTAGAGTAAAAATTGGCTGATTTTTCATTGAAGAAATTGGGAAAAGGCAGCAAGGTCATAGATATATAGAAAAAAGTGAAATTGTCAAGATTCATGGGCTTCCTGTCTGATTTGCAATTTATGGGTGGCTTTGGAGCTTGGGCCCACGGCCTTGGCTGCCAGCCTTTGGCCTAATTTACCAGTTATGAGAAAACTCATGCTAACTGCTAACTGTGCTAAGACCTCAGGAAATTGATTTTCTTAATATTTACTGGAATGGCCAATTATCATGCATTTTGATTGGAACATTTAACCCTTTACGCCCTGAATTTCTGGGACAAAAATCGTAAAATTCACTTTTTTGGTTTTAAGTCTCACTTCGAAGCTGACATTCTGACCTATCCAATGGTACCAAAATCATCTCTGTACGTTAATTTATGCCTTGACGACAGTTCGTGAAAGTGTTAGGGGTGGGGGAGTTCTTTCACATTTAATATATATTTAATATATATATTTAATATATAATATGGGATGGTAATGTTTAGTCTTGCATCCATGTCACCTTGAATGCCTATTTCAAGGCGCTCGGGACTTTGTCGCGCTCTACTGAACATTCACACTTATTGTAACTGCAAACCTATTTCCTCCCAGAGTTTTTAAGCTACAGCAATGAGTAATAAACCGTTCGATTTGCAAATAAAAGATCTAGAGATTGGAAGAAGCTTTTTTTTCAATTTCGTTAAAGTTTTGAAAATATTTTGAAAAAAGGGGAGGGGAAATTTGAAAGGGTGACTATGTTGTATGCAGAAAGTCTGAGTTGTAGCTTAGAAGCCCATTGCATAACTACACCTTGTGATAGGTTTAGGGTTTTTTATTTATTCATGGTATAGATGCTACATGCTTGTTAGAGATTTCGGTCCTGTCTTACCCCATCTGACTATACACATGTAAAAAATAAATCTAAGACTTTTTTTATTCTTATGAATTTTTCGAAAAATGACAGAAAACGTGAAATTGTTGGAAAAGGTAGCTAGTCCCTGGTGTGACAAATTCGTCACGCCAGGGCGTAAAGGGTTAAAAGTATCTATAATACTTTAATAGTCACAAATCATAGCCACAGCACACATGAGGATGAGGCAGAGGCTGAATGCAAAATAAGAATATAAACAAATTTCAGAAGAAAATTTTCTAAGAATAATCAAATCAATAAAATTCCAATAAAGTTCTTCTTGAAGCCTCCAAGCCCCAAGTGCCAACTCACTCCCAAGGCTGCAATAAGAACTTTTTTAAAGTTTTCAATTTTTTATGAAGTACCGTACCGTATTCAGTCTACAATAATTGTCAATTACTTGACATCTGTCATATCCTAAATAAGTTTAGTTTTATCATCAGTTAACATTGACAATTTGACACATGACAGTGGTTACATGAGCCTGCTTGTAACTTTCAACACTAGTCAGCAGCTAGTCGAGGACCTGCACCTGGGCACCAGCCAGCCCACAGGAAAATAAATGTGGTTTACTTTTTCTTCTTCTTTGCAGGCTGTGTACTTGGAGTGGACTTGAAGCTGCAGGTTTGCCAGATGGAGGACCATTGGGCCTGAGGGCTGAGAGCTTATAGCTTGTGGCTTTCAGCTTCTTTGTATATGAAATTCATTGCTGCCGTCTTGTGAGATTGGCTGACGTAAGCTCAGTACAGGATTGGGTAGGAGTTTACAGGGAACATATATTAGTAAATGAAAAGAGTTACTGCTTATGTAGTTTAGATAAGTAAGGGCTGCTAATGTAACAACCTTGATTAAAAAAAAACCTAGAGGCTACTCAGGCTAGATGACCTACTTGGCACTTGCAAAATCAAAACATTTATCAGCAGTTGCCATGCATTACAATTCTATCATGCTTGCATTGGTATATACAGCATTATAAGGCGCTCATATAAAGATCACTTAGCCTGCCTGTCTTTAAAATAAATACATTGAAAAATTGAGAGATTTACTGTGATACATCATCACTAAAGTTACCTTCCACCAAGAGATTACAAGATTAAGTTGATATTTCTCAAGATACATAGTAGCTCCTGTTTTGGTAGTTATTCTTCTTCTTTTCGGGATGTCCACGCAGGGTAGACTTAAAGCCACAGGACAACCGCAAGGATGACCGTTGGGCCTGAGAATTGAAAGATTTTTCTTTGCACATCATCATCGTTATTACCTCCCCCCAAAAGTTCACACAAAGAAAATTGTACATTCAAACATCTTAAATTAGTTTTCAGCTCCTGTCTGGGCTGCGCATGTTGCTGGCAATGCAGCAGGTAGTGCTCAATAGTATCCACAGTGTTGCACGTAGCACACTGATCAGAGTCGCTCATGTTAAATCTGTGCAAGTGACTTCTGACGCCGGCATGACCAATCCTGAGTCGAGCAGCAGCACACTCGAGTCTGCAAGACTTCAGGCTGAGCCAGGGTCGCAGTCTGGGTTCGTTCATGATGTTGCTCAAAAAAGTTCCCTTCCGCAAGTGAGCAACAGAAGCCTTCCATGTTCTTGTCCAGTGCTCTTGTAGTTTGCCTTTTAGGACAGTGAGGGACTCTTCTAAGCTTAATGTACTTAAGACTGATTGGGCATTGAGATGGCCCATGTTGGCTGCGCTGTCTGTCACTTCATTACCCTTTACACCACAGTGCCCTTGCACCCATTGTAGTACTGTGGAGGCTTGTCTTTGGTGAATTAACTCTTGAATTTTGAAAACATTCTCCCTGTATGAGGGGCTGCTGATGTTGTGGATGGCTTGCAAGGCAGACCAGGAATCTGATAACAGCCAGAGCTGGGCAGCGCTACTTTGAAATGTAGCGCCGCTACCGCTACCGCTACATGCTCTAAATGTAGCGGGCGCTACCGCTACCGCTACATCCACTAGATTGTAACGGGCGCTACCGCTACAGTAAAATGTAGCGCCCTACATTAGCCGCTACAATGGCCAAAATTATTAGAAATCTCTCAATATTTATTGTTCTGCTATTGGATTTACTCATTAACATTCAATGATAATAAAACATTTTTAAATCATATCAATGCAACTTTATTGCAATTAACCTAACCAAACTAGTATGGGTTAGATACAGTAAATAAAAGTTAGTTAGTAAATACAGTAAATTTTTATGTTTTACCTTCCCTACATGGATGTGAACTTTTATCTACCAATCTAAAAAATTATCCACATATACATATAAAAATCAGTCTTTTTTGTGTATATATATGTGGATTATTTTTGAGATTGGTAGATTAAAGTAGACATCCATGTAGGGAAGGTGAAACATAAAAATAACTGTGTAAAAATAACTGTAAGCAAACTGAAAGATGAAAAAAACCTGTAAGTGGTAACTGGTAATAACTTAACAGGTAACAACTAAAATGTTGACACTCGTAACAGGCTGAGGTTGACAACATAACACCGAAATCTTTCGTACAGTTTTATTCTGTAATTTATATTATGTATGTACCATGCTGGTTTTTAAATAACATTTACAGC